GACTTGACCCCTTTCCATCACCACGCTGCTGCCAGAGTGATCATTCTAATGTGCCATGCTTTTTAAGATCCTTCAAAAGTTCTTCATCACAAGAACAAATCCAAGCCTTTAACAAGAACTCTTCTTCACAGTCTGGCTTCTTCTCTCTCTTTAGCCTTCCCTGCTAGTCATGTTTAGTCACTTGCTGCTCGGCTTTGCCTATCTTTCCCCCTTTGCTCCAACTAGAAAGTTCTCCATTCCCTATTACCTCACCTCCTGCTTCCCCACAAATGCTTTGCTCAAACCTAGACAATGCTTAATTATCTTTTAAGATTTATAAGGAGGACCATTTCCCCCTAGGAAACCTTTCCTGACTTTCTTTTTTTTTTATTATTTTTTTTAATGTTTTATTTATTTCTGAGAAAGAGAGACAGCATGAGCAGGGGAGAGTCAGAGAGAGAGGGAGACACAGAATCCGAAACAGGCTCCAGGCTCTGAACTGTCAGCACAGGGCCCAACGCGGGGCTTGATCCCACAAACCGTGAGATTATGGCCTGAGCCAAAGTCAGACGTTCAACCGACTGAACGACCCAGGCACCCCTTTCCTGACTTTCTCAGATGGAATGACAGCTACCTCTCTACTTTCTGTCATCAGATTGTCTTATGTTTACCATTCTCCAAGCACTTGTATCATGGTTTGTGTTTTTAGACTACATGCCTGTTTCCCTCAACTAATCTATAAACATCTTGATGATAGGAAGCTTTTACGAAATGCTGTGTTTTCAGCAAATAGTAAATAGAATGTTCCTGGCACATAGAAAAATGCCAAGTGAATGTATTACCACGTGGCTAGAGATGTAAAGATGAGGCATTACTTGGAAACTCCCATCGTAGGAAGATAATTGTCTACATGCATAAGATGGTTGATTCTTTTTAAAACCTGTAGCATTTGTCCAAAGTAAGAAGTGTGTGTGGGTGTATGTGTGTGTGTGTGTGTGTGTGTGTATGTGTGTGTGAGTGTGTGTTATGTCCTGACTCCGTTCTTGGAAACATTAAATAACTCTTGAAAACTTCAGTTTCCTCCTCTCTCTGTAATTCTGTAGAGTTAATTATGGCATCTATGTCACAAAATTGTTGGAAGGCTAACTCAGTAGATGCCTATAGTGAAGATCCTTAGCAAGGTGCCTGTGTTCATTTCTTATTGCTGCTGTAACACTTTGATTACTTGGTACAACACAAATACACCACCTTGGAGTTACAGAGGGCAGAAGTCAAAATAGGTCTCACTGGGCTAAAATGAAGGTGTTGACAGTACTGTATTCCTTCTGGAGGCTCTAGGGGACGGTCTGTTTTCTGTCTTTCCCAGCTTCTGGAGTCTTCATATATTCCTTGACTTGTGGCCGGCCTCTTTCCATCTTCAAAATGAGCAATGGTCCATTAAGTCCTTCTCACACTGCATGACTCTGATACACACAACCTCTCACCTCCCTCTTCTGCTTATAAAAACCCTGTGACTGTCTTGGGTTCATGTGAATAATAGAGGGTAATTTCCCCATCTTAAATTCCATGACTAACTCACATTGGCAGCATCTCGTTCGCCATTTAAGGTGTGTATGGTAGTATATTCACAGGTTCTGGGATGTAGGAGGTGGATGTCTCTGGGGGAACGTTAATTTTGCCTACCACAGTGCTTGATACGTTCATTATAAGTGACCAGTGAAGTTTGGCTATTGTTACTGGAGTTATAGACTTTTCCTTAAAGGTTGTTATTTTTTAATTTTTTAATGTTTTATTTATTTTTGAAAGAGAGACAGAGAGACAGAGTGTGAGTAGGGAGGGGCAGAGAGAGAGAGGGCAACACAGATTCCAAAGGAGGCTTCAGGCTCTGAGCTGTCAGCACAGAGCCCAACGCAGTGCTTGAACCCACGAACCATGAGCTCATGACCTGAGCCTAAGTCAGCCGTTTAACCGACTGAGCCACTCAAGTGCCCCTCCTTAAACATTGTTAATTCAACAGAGCTGTGTTCCAGAGCTGAAACACTTTTGATCCAAACAACCTTGACTGGTGTGGCCTTGTATTATTAACTGGGTGTGAAAGAGCCACGTTTCTTTTTACTCCAAAAGTAGGTTAAGTGATTCACTTTTGAAAATTACCTTAGCCATTTGGTTATGTGGGATGCACTTAGAGAAAATGGAAATTGATATTTATTTGAAAGTGCCTACATAGCCCTGAGGAAGGCAGTTTTACTTTCATTACTGTCATTGTGTAGTAATGACTAACAGTTATTGAGAACTTACTATGTGCCAAGAACTTTTCCAGTGTGTGTGTATATATAGAGAGAGAGAGAGAAAGAGAGAGACTAATTTGATCTTAACAGCCAGTCCCATGAGGGGACTTTTATTTTCCTTATTTAATGGCATTTGAGAGTTTTCCCAAAGTTACAAGTTTAGTGAGCACCAGAGATGATTTTTAAACCCACATGGTCAGGCTTATAGAAGCTGTACTTTTAACCATGACATTGTAAAAATAAGAATGTAGAAAATGATGGGCCAAAATTGGAAGAATGAACCCTCCATTTTGGGCTAATCATGCTCAGCATTTTTATAGCTCATCATGGTGTAGCCTGAGGGTATTTATTTCGTCTTACCGAGTTCTAAGTTTTGTACGCACGTAGAAATGACCAACTGTGAATTGAGAGGTGGTTGGTTTCCAGAGATGCTTGAAAAGAAATTGTTTAATGAGTTCAGGCTTTTAAACACAGGTCCTTGGGTTTATTCTCTCTCCTTCTCTGTTGGTTGGTTCATCTGTCTATCTCTTAAAAATATACTTTAGGAACATTAACTACAGCTACTACCATATATCATGTATTACCTGTGCCTTTCTATCTATTCTGCTAGCTTGCTTTGATATGTAGAATTTAAGAGCAAGGAGGCTGAAATTTTTTAGAGAGTTGTTATCTAAGTCAGTGTTTCCTAAGAAAGTCAGTTTCAGAAGACTTCTTTTTTTTTTTTTAAGTGATTCATTTAGGTCATTTTTTAAATATATATAATTTATTGTCAAAATGGCTAACATACAGTGTGTAAAGTGTGCTCTTGGTTTTTGGGGTAGATTCCCGTGGTTCGTCGCTTCCATACGACACCAGTGTTCATCCCCAGAGAGTGCCCTCCTCAATGCCCATCACCCATTTTCCCCTTTCTCCCACCCCCCATCCACCCTCAGTTTGTTCTCTGTATTTAAGAGTCTCTTATGGTTTGCCTCCCTAAGCAGATGTTATTAACACTTTCACCACTGTGGTTTGATGAAAAAGATAAAGAAAGATTATTAATTTGGCTAATCATTACAAACATAATGTTAAGACCAGTTGTTGAAATATTTCATATGGAAAGCAACTCCTTTTAAGTGGATTACTCAGGGATATAACTGTGAGGAGTTGGCATTTGCTAAATGAATGTTGACAGAGCTGGCTGCTGACTCAGAGGGTTAGCATGCTAAGTCAGCTTTATGGACTTTAAAAGTTCATCATGGCCACATTAATGGAATTAACATGTTATTGTGAAAAGTCCATTTATGCCAAAATAAGTAACGGTGAGAGCAACCAATAAATGGATGAAAGTAAAATTATATCTAATTGATTCATAATTTTTTCTATATGGTTGAGACCCATTTTATATAGTCATCAAGTCTATCACATACATTTATTTTGATCTAAATCACTTTGAAAATAAAAAAACAATTACATAAAGTCTTTCATTTTACTTTCTGCACTTAATATTTACTCCTCATCCTACAGACAGTTTGGAGAGTATGTTACCTGCCCCACATGGTCACGGTTGAGTTTTTATGCTCCAACGTTTTATTTAGAATCCTTTGGCAGATGAAATTGTTGACCTTAGTTGGCTAGAAAACAGCTGCTTTTCTATTTTGATTTGTAGTTAATGTTTTCCAAGTGTCAAGCACATGTAGAGAAATTTTTTCCATAGACTGATATTAAACATTTTATTTATATTTCTTTTATTTTTAATGGTCCGTGGACTGTTTGGAAAAGTGAGAGCCAATTAGAGCATTCACTGTAAATTCCTTTAGAAAAAAAATCTCCCTTGGGTATTTCTATAATGAATCAATATCACATTTGTTTATTTTAGTGACATACTCAATTGCAGTGCTATATTCTGGAAACAATCTGTTGTCTATTTTTACTAAGTTAAAAATACATGATCTCTTTCAAAGTTTTCAGGAGTGTCTGCCTAAAGCCAAAGCGAAGTGATTTTCAGTAATCTTAGATTTGACTATTTTGTCAATGAATCACTACCTTGAGAAAGGACGAATTGATACAATTATCTTGTTTTAATGACTACATCTTATAATATTTACAGTTTCTGGTCAAAGATGAAGATAATTTAGTTCCTTCTCTTAGTTTTTCTAGAATTAGAGTTTAGTTTTGGGGGGGTTTCTTATCTAGCCTTGGTAAATATATGAGTTCTATTATTTTTATTTATTTGTTATACACAGGTCACTGAAACTTAGTGGAAATGTAGAGAAATATAAGGCTGAACTAAAGCAGGCACTATTGTCCTTTGGTGGCAGATACAGAGATGTGAAGGGCATGTGTCCTGGGTACTAAGTAGCATAAAATGGTGGATGAAATTGAGAAACTGAGAAAGCCAGAAGGAAACACTGAGATTCACCACATTTCATTTATTTGTTGTGAGTCTCAGGTGAGGTGGAATTGCCCTGAATTCTTTGGACACTGGGAACCCTAGATGGGAGACCCAGTTTCTATGCCCGAAGCTTTTGAGAAAGCAGTGGTTTCTTCACAGGATTAGGTCATTTGTGGTAGAAGAGAAACTCTCTTGGTTGTTCCAATGAAGTGGGTAGCTTTGCAAGCCACCATCTGCCTCTTTGGGTTTGCCTGGATAGAATGAGACTTAGTCAAGTAGTTCTAGAGTTTTCTCAATATGCTTTTAAAAATAGACATGTCTAGTTATATATCAAAATATCTGTGCTTTTTTATTTCTTTCAGGAACATTAAAGAAAACCTATTTTAAATCAAATGGGAGTGAACCTTTGGTCACCGATGGTGAAGTCCAGGTGTCTGATATTGTTCTTACAAATACAGTTTGCAACAAGAGCAGTGTGATATCTGCTACACATCCCAACCAGCACATTCCAGCCCGGACCACGGATGCTTCTCTCCCGGGGGACCAAACTCACAGGAACACAAGTAAGTCTGTAGATGCTGAATACCCGTCCACCCACAGGCAGATTTTAAGCATGGCAACCAATGTTTTTAATTTACAACAACGAACTGGTCACAGAGACAAAGTTGCACACACTTACCCAGCACACCTAACTGGGAATTCTCTTTCTAAACATGAAATGCCATCAGCTCAGCCATCCAGATAGGGATAAGGGTAGGAAATGAAAATGTATCAACGTCATTCAACATTTCTGAGGCACTCTGCTTTCCCCGATACAATGGTATTGATTTTATGGTGGCTCCTCTCTGAAAGTTTGTGCTTCTGTTTTGAAGTTACTTGTTTTGAGATAGTTAGAAGAGTAAGTAAGTGAAGTTACTTATTTTGTTATTGGTGCCTTGCGGGAAGTTCTGTGATAGAATGTCAATGATTTAATGGGAACTATCCACCCCCTATTTGCTTCTGAAGTGCTTGTGTGGTCTTTTTTCTTTACTTCCCTCTTCTCCTTCCTTTATTGGCTGTGCAATTTCTTTTACGTGTTGGTGACTGACAGTCGCACATTAAGGAAAATGGTGTGTATGAAACTCTGCTTGAGGACAAACGTCAGCTATTCCAGAACAAAAGTGGGGACAGAGAGGGGACAGAAAGTGTGGAGATGGGGCCAGTTACACAGTGGCAGACAGTCTGCTCTGGAATGCGATTTTCTTCTTCAACGTCCCTCAAATTTTTAGTAAAGTCACTAAGTTTCCAGAATGCTGGTGGGTGTGGAGTTGGGCAGAAGTGCCCCCGAGCCTTAGCTCTGATCCAGTCCGCACTGGCAAACAGAATCGGAGCCCAGTCACTGTAGGAACTTGCTCTGCAGTTGTCTTAATTCTTATTTTCTACTTCCTAAATCACAAAGTGATTGAAAAATATACAAAACCCATCCAGCCAGGGTCATTTTCTTGTTTGTTCCTCCCTCTTTCATGAAAACCCACAGAGGAAGGTCACATCCTAGGTCTAGGACATGAATGTATTGATTTTCATTCTGAACCACGAAGGGAAGGATTAAGCTAACTTTTAGCGATCATGGTATATATTTGCCAGTGTCTGAAGAAAAGCAGGGTTATTTTATTGCTGTAGACCCAAAGAGACAGGCTGTTTGGATTCTGTCGTTTCACACAGCACCTACGTTTTAACTGTTTCTTACGCTTGGTGTTCGCCAGTGATTAATACAGAATTTTGTTTATTACCTGACGGTAATAACTGCAAACCCAAACTATGCCAAGCAAAATTTGGTTTCATCATGAGTTTGACTTTGAAGTTTTTAATGTTTTTGTCATGTTTTAAGCACTTCATTTTTCTTAAGGACAATGTTTTTCATCAGAGGCGCAGAGGTAATTTAAGCAAAAACTCAGTCCCATTAATGTGTTTGCAGTTATAGCAATTGTTTTCTTTTGCTAAGTGGATTTTTCTCTCTTTTGAAAGTTTTGTTACTTGTTAAGATTCAAGTAGAGGTGGCAAACACATACTGTGAAGAGTAAAGAAGCCTATGGTACTTGTTACTCAGTTTGGAAGCTTGATGGAAGTCTGTTTGACTCGTTTTCTCTTCCTCTGACTCAAACATTGCACAAGGCTAGGAATGTAATTTGACATGTAAAAGAAATCCAGGTGAAATTAGAACAGTTAAATGGAGAAAGGTCAACACCTTTGAATATATGTCATTCTGTGTTGTTCATATACTTGACAGTTAGCACTGAGCTCTACTGCTAACCACATAGACCTTCAATATATTGTCTATATTAACTAAAAGTATTCATTGCAAAGGATCTGATAGTTTTTCATACATTTCAGTAATATTGCTAGCCTGTGATTGTATAGCTTTTGGTAGTTTTTAGGGCATATTTAAATATTTTTCTCCTTATATAGAATTAACTGATGATGTATGCAGGCAGTACATACCATTTCAAGTTATGGAGTCAAGGCTCAGTTGACATAGCCGGAATCACTTGTCTAGTAAGTGATAGGCATGAAATTGAGATTCGGATCCTGGGATGTGTAGACCAGCGCTCTTTCAAGTTTTTCATGATTCTTTATTTAATTTTATTGGTTTCTGTGTAGGAGCAGTGGAAATTTTAAGCTCCAGGGGAGTAGTCTGTTTTCTTTTTGATGCTGTATAGCCAGTGCACTATAAAATACTTATTGAATGAATAAGTAAACCAACTGCAGTCATTTCAAAATTTTAATATCTGATTTATCACTTTTCATTAATAATGTCTAATCACACTTCTGCACTTGGTATTTATTTAATCAGTTTTACTTAAAGCATCATTTAGTGCCTTGTATCAGGACTAACACCTAGGAGAGAATTTGCTTTTGTCCCTTTTAAAAAGTTATTCTCTAATTAAAATGTCATTTTACATTCCTGGTATATATAAAAGTTATTTAAGCCCACTTCAGTACAAAAATACAGTGGCCAGACATTCTGGTCTATCCAAATATCCTGGGTAGGAAACCAAGGAGCAAACTCCTGGCAAAAGGTAACAGGAAATAGCCTCTCAGACATTTCCCCCTGGGGGTCCTTAATATCAGGCCAAAGCACAGAATACTGTAGTTTGTAAAGTCTTAATCAGAATACTCCCTGTATTACACTGTGTGGGAGAGCTTTGTAAATGTAAAATAGGTTTTATGTGACATCTCTTACTTCTGGACTTTCATTAGCTGAGTTTTGAAACCCAGCTGTGATATGCAAAGGGGAAAGGTTCATAGTGAGCTTGCACATTATATTTTAGCAAAGGATTTTTCTAGGTTACCTTTTGTATTTTCACTTTTTCTCCTTATATATGTGCTAAATATTTAAACATAAACTGAATTTTAAGGAAAGAAAAAAAAAAAACCTCTTTGACCAACCGAGAGCATTTGGGTTAAAAATAATATGGTGGACAATGGAATAGCCTGGAAACTCTGATCAGGAATTAAAGCAACAAAAGAGTGGGGTAATGTGCTAAAAGCTTAAAGTGTTCCATTTTTTCATCATCCTGTTTGATAACCAGATCCCTAATCTCTGTATCAGATGAAAATGCATCATACCTCTCATTCACTTTATTAATAAAAAGAACACTTTTTGGGATATGATCCACCTACTGAAACATTCACCTTCTAATAAGTAAAATACAAGATTTTAAGAATGATTCACAGAATTGTGCAACCACCACAACTATCTGATTTTAGAACACTTTCATCAATGCATAAAGAAATGTTGGGTCACCAGGGTGACTTACTTGGTTGGCATCTGACTTTGGCTCAGGTAATGAACTCACAGTCTGTGAGTTGGAGCTCTGTGTCAGGCTCTGTGCTGACAGCTCAGAGACTGGAGTCTGCTTCAGATTCTGTGTCTCCCTCTTTCTCTGCCCCTCCCCACGTGTGTGTGTGCGCGCGTGCGCACGTGCTCGCGCGCTCTCTCTCTCTCTCAAAAATGGATGGACATTAAAAAAATGATATAACAAAAGAAATGTTGTATCCATTATTCCTCATTTCCCCATTACCCCATCCTGTGTCCAAAATTCTTATAGTTTCTTCCTCTAAGGATTTGCCGATTCTGAACATTTCATATACAGAGCATTAGATAATAAATATGTGGCTGTGTGACTGGCTCCTCATATCTTTCTTGGATATGTGCACAGTCTTGGCCTTCTAGGTCCCAGAGACTATATCAGAGCCTTTCAAAGACCCCTTTGTCTCTCTTATTCTCCAGTTTTTCCTTTTAAGTGGTTAGGGTCAACCTCTTACTTCCAACGGGCATCTTTGCCTGACATAGCTGTGATGTTAAGCAATCACCACACATTGTTTGAGCAATCACCACACATTGTTTTTGATAAGTGCCCTGGGGATAAGGCTGTTTGCATATAGAAAGTTCTGAGTCAGAAACAACAACAACAAAAAGTTCTGAGTTGGTAAAAAAAAAAAAAAAAAGGATTAGAGGGATAAAGATTGGGAAAAGGAAGCCTTAGATTCCTTGTAAAGTTCTTGTGCGCTTTAAAACTTCACCAGCATTGGGGCACCCGGGTGGCTCAGTTGGTTAAGCGTCGACTCTTGATTTCAGCTCAGGTCATGATCTCACGGTTCGTGGGTTCCAGCCCCATGTCGGGCTCTGCGCTGATGTTACGGAACCTGCTTGGGATTTTCTTTCTCTCTGCCCCTCCCCCGTTCATGTGTGCACATGTGCTCTCCCTCTCTCTCTTTCAAAATAAATAAATAAACTTTTAATTAAAAAAAAAAAAAAGTTCTGAGTTGGGTCAAGTAAGGACAAGCTCTGAGAATGGATTCTTTCCAGGGATCTTCCAGACAGGTTGAATGATGACAGTTTTCTGGGGATGGCTTTTTGGATAGCTTCAAACCCATTCTTTCCTCTCCATTGCCTCCTCAGTTGCAGGTTTTTACAATAAATGCAAAGCCACCGGTTTTCAAGGTTACCGCAGAGCTGAGGAGATGGTGATGGAAGTAGGGGAAGGTAAAATGCTACAAAGCTCATAGTTCTCACTGTGATTCAGTCATTTTTCTTGAATAAATATGTTCCTCTCATTGATGCAAGACTTTGGTTAAATTTCAAAGTTTTAAAAAATTTGATTTTGATCATTTTTTTCCCAGTATTTTCACTGCTTTCACGTAGGAGCATATTTGTGGTGGATCTTAGTATGTTGTTCTGAAATTGCTTCCTACCCCTCAATCATTTTTACCTTCCTTATCCACTCTTGTGCTTTTCTTTCACTTCTTCCAATATTGGGAGATTATTTTCCTCTTTTTATAATGCATAACTATGCTCATATTATACATATTATGCTTAAATGGAAGTCTTTTCTTTTTTCTTTTTCTTTTTTGCATAAATCTCTTCATTCCCACTCCTTGCTTTTGCATTACCCCCAATCTGCCCATAATTAACCCCTGTTAACTACTGAGTGTATATGATTTAAAGTTTTCCCCATGCTAATATAGTCATGTACAAACATATATGCACATACCTGTATATAGAATAGCATATGTGTATAGG